TATACAGATCTTCCTTCTGATGGGAAAGCAGCCAGGCTTGACTCCATGATGCTGGGAACCAGACTGTCAGGATACATTCAAACCCTCGGTTCTCTTTAAGCTCAGCAAGAATCAAGCTCTGAATTGCCATCACAAATCTGACACCGAGCTGCCTCCCCAGCCAGGACCGTGGCACATTGTCCCCCAAAGTACAGGGCCATCCCAGAGCCTGACTCGTGGATCCCCTCCTTCCATGCACACTCTCCCTACCTTTTCCATTTATAGCCTAGACACAGGGGAAAAAAAATGCTGCCATCTCCCTAATTACTGTAATTATCACAGCAACTATCAAGTTGTCAGTACACATCCATCGCAATTAGCACTGTTTTACTTTGCATCAATCACTCCTTACACAGCATTTGAGAGGGAGGATGCTCTGAAGGATTTCAGCTCCCACTCCCCCCAGGGCTTTGTAACCATCTGCTCGTCGGAGAAGAGACAGTGACACAGCTACAACTCCACCTAAGAGGTGCAAGCAGTTGGGTCTGTCTCGAATTATCACGGCAAGAGAGCAGATTAAAACACCCATCACCACCTCTGTGACACAGGGTGTTCATGGGGGCACCACAGGACCAGCAACCACCTCCCAAAAACAACTTGTTTCAGCCTCTCTGGCAGAGGCCAACCCAGGAGGCAATTCCTGGGCCAAATGACCCAGACAGGATTTCACAGGGTGGATGGAAGGGGTGTGAGGAAGGTTGAGGGCATCAGGAGCGAAGCTGAAGAGTGGAAGGAGGAAGCTGAGGGGCAGCTGAGGGACAGGAAGAATTAGTCAAAGGCATTCACGTGGCTTATCTGCCCACATCATCTCAATCAACACTGATCCTGCAGCGAGCTGTGCGTGACAGCACCATCAGCAGCTTACTGCAAGTCAGAAGGATTCAGCTCCAGCTCTGCCACAGGCTTCAGGCAATGCCTTGGCAAAGTAATTTTCCATGCCTCAGCCCTATTTGATTCCCCTGCTCCTGGTCATTACAGGAAATAGGGGCACTATCCCTCCTTATTATCGCTCCCATAACATCAGGGAAGATATCATGGAACCACAGCATGCTTTGGATTGAAAGGGTTCTTAAAGATCATCTTGTTCCAACCCCCTGCCATGGGCAGGGACACCTTCCATTAGTCCAGGTCGCTCCAAGCCCTGTTCAACCTGGCCTTGGATACTTCCAGGGATTCAGGGGCAGCCACGGCTTCTCTGGGGAACCAGTGCCAGGGCCTCAACCCCTCAGCCAAGAACCCTTTCCTAACATCCAACCCAAACCTTCCATCTGTCAGCTTGAAAAGGGTTTTGCACATTAAACATCACAAGGCAAGTAGCCAGTGTGAAAGGACAGAAATCCATCACTCCCTGAGACACCCCAAAATCAAATTAGAGGAAGCAGTGGCACAGCAAAGCCTCTGCAACTGCTCAGACAGAACTGTTCCAGTCAGGACACCCGCTGGTTTCAGGAGAGATTAATGATTGCTCCTTCACTAATATTTTTAGCCAGATAGTCAAGTCACACCAGGATATTTGATGCTGGAAACTCGATGCTGGAAACTGCTCAGCAAGAAACCTAAGCCAGCTACCCAATCTCCAGTTTAATATCATCAGGTAGCCTTGATTGCAAAGCTGCACCGTGGCAGGAACATAGGCTCTTGTTCCAAGAAAAAAAAAAAAGGGGGGGGGAAGAAACAGCCTCCCCTGACTTCAGGCAGGTCTCCTGGCCTATGTTGCACACTCTAACTTCATCAACAAGGGCCAAAATGCAAGAACTCTCCTGGCTGTCTGCTCTGGAGAACACCTCCACTTACAGCCACTGCAGTAACCTCACAAGGGCTGTCCAAAAAGCACGTTCTCCTGAGCAAACACCTACTGCTGCCATGGTCCCTTGGGCCAATTCCCTCAAAACCACACCATGATGGTGATTAAATAGTTCAAACCATGTCAAGGAGCTTCTCCTTATTTATGCCAAGTTGTCCAGATAGCGACTTGCCCAAGGTCCAGACTGACCTTCCAGCACTTCTCAAGCGACCCAAGAACCACAGGAACCCACCAGAGACGGGGACATCACACAGGGAAGCACCTCCACATAAAACTTGTGTCCCAACCACTTCTCTGCTGGTGATTCCCCCTTCCCAGACACTTGGAGGCATCTCCTCCATGAGTCAGGTCCAATTTCCTTTGCATTTGAAGCATAAAATTTCCACTCATCCTCCCTGGAGGCAAAATCTGGCAGTAGTATCTTTTCTGCTAAAGCCCTCTGGTATTTGTGGCTCAACGGCAAGTTAAAATGCTCAAGCATGAACCACAGGCCAGAAAAAGCAGGAATTCTACAGCTCTGAAAAGGAAAAACAGAACAGGAGAGACACTTATGTGTTGGCAGTTCCCAACTATTTCTTATCAGAGGCAGATCCTGCATTTGGGCTTCGAATTTGCACTTTAAGTGATTAAGTTCTTAGGTTACTCTCAGTCAAGTGGATACAACTGAGAACCCTGGCACCAGTTTTAGACAAGACAAATTATTGATCAAGACATTTCCATTCCTGAGCATGGAATAGCTTAGTTTAACTTCTGTGATTCTGCATCAAACAATGTTTAATTTTTTTTTTTGCAGTGGTGGGGGTTTTTTGGGTAGTGTTTTCTGTGGTTTCTATTTGCTTTGGGTATTTTTAACTTGAGAGAAAGGTTTCTAAAGCTATTACACATTTTCCTCCCACTATCCAATTCAGCCTCCAGGAATATCTTTTCTGGATTTGAGCTGTCTTAGAGGCCTAAAGCAAAGCAGAATTACAGGGCTCTCTGGGATTCCCCAAAAAGCCCCCAAGGCTTTGGTGCACAGATTAAAACCTCAAGTGCAATCCATGATCTCAGGCATTGGAAGAGGCTGCCCAGGGCTGTGTGGAGTCACCAAGCCATGGAGGGATTTAAAAGCCAAGTGGCACTTGGGGACATGGTTTAGGTGGTGGGTTTGGCAGTGGGGTTGGACTTGGTAATTTTGGAGGGCTTTTCCAACATAAATGATTCTATGATTTACCAGGATCAGTGATCCAAGTTTCCATGCACACAGTCAGTCCCTCCAAACAGTGGAGTCAAGATAACTTAAAGCACCATGAGCCTCACAACCCTAAAGACCAAACTTTGGGTGGTGTTAAATACAGAATCGTACAATGGTTTGGGTTGGAAGGGACTTAAACATCCTCCAGTTCTACACCTTGCCATGGGCAGGGACACATTCCACTAGCCCAGGTTGCTCCAAGCCTTTTCCAACCTGGTCTTGGACACTTCCAGGGATCCAGGGGCAGCCACAGCTTCTCTGGGCAACCTGTGCCAGGGCCTCCCCACCCTCACAGGGGAGATACCAAAATATCAACCTAATTCCTCCCTGTGCTCTCCCCTAGCAGGAGGTTTGCAGTAACAGCCTATATGAGGGGTTTCTGCACTTCCACCTTATTGAGTTACGGCCTCAAGACCAGTGTAAACTAAGTGTAGTTCCCTGATCATCCTCCCCAGCCTGCTTGTTTCCAGGTATTTCACTTCTGCTGAAGCTCCTGAAGGCAGAGCTGATTAGCTGGAATAAACAGGAAACCAAATCCCAGCAATGTCTATTGGGTGTCTCTGCTTTCAGCTCCAGAGGAGCTCAGCAGCCTGAACCTCGTCCTCTTGGATCCCTGTGCAGGCACTGTAGGAGGAAAAGTGATAAATTAACATGTCAAGGAACTGTCTGGGACAAAAAGCAGCAGAAATATCAGAATTAAGGGGAAATTGTTCAGAGAACAATCAGCACATGGCTTTTCAGGTTTTAAGAGGCAGAGGAATTAAAGGAAAGAAGAAGTCAGGAAAGGAATTATTTATGTCTTGCTCAGGCCAGCGACAAACAGCCCCACAGGGTGTTTCAAGATCCTTTTCTGTACTTCTAGATAATGAAAAAACAACAATTTGAACACTCAGCGTTCCTACTTACCTTCCTTGATGTGTGCAGTAACACGCAGCCAGCACTTTCACTTTCAGCTGGAAAGAGGAAAAAAAAAAAAAAACACAACCCAATCAGAAAAGTGTTACTGTCACAGGTACCTGAGAGGCAGCAGGAGCTGAGCAGAAGGCTCAGGACGAGGTGAAGCATCACTCTCTTGGCAGAGGATGATGTCTACAGAAAAGCAGAGACTTAATTTCTACAACATCTCCCATTTTGGAAGCGTGAACTGAGCCCAGAATTGGCATTATCTGATCAGCTGGGGATTGTGTCTTGCAGCTTTTTTTGGCTGTGTTTATGCCCCCCCCTTTTTTTTTTTAAATTCAGATTCCCTATGTATTTTTACTCTTTTCTCCTCTCCTACCTCCCCAAAAATCTAACTCCTAATCTTTTTAAGTAATCATTTAATCCAGGGCATCGCTGTTTGATAGATTGAGGCTAAGATTGCATGAGTCACCCTCGTTTGGAAACCCTTCTTGTCCTCGTTAAAGAGTCAACAATGACACCCAGGCACTTCCAAGGGAGGGGGCTGAGGGATCACACTCACTCCCAGACGAGCACATTAACGTCCTGTCAACTCATCACGCTGCCTCCATAAATCTAAGGGTAAAGAAACAGCCCTTGGGAAAGAAAACTGCTCTTTACAGACTATAAATGTCACTTAATACGCAGCCGAGATCCAGGGATGGGGGAAACCCGGGAAATTCCCAGTTCCAACTTCCAAGCGCCAACACTAACATTTTCTTAGAGTATCTATGGAGCATTTTTTGGGGGGTATAAACCACAGAACCAAATAAAACCCAGCTGTATTTGCCACGAGCCCATTCCGAACTCTTTGCCTCCCAAAGCAGCTTCTCTGTAGCATCACTTGTACCACAGGCACTGTCTGTGCAAACAGTCGTGGAATTGTTTGTGTTGGAAGGGACCTTAAAGACCACCTCGTTGACCTTCCACTGGACCAGGTTGCTCCAATCCCCATCCAACCTGGCCTTGAACTCTTCCAGCCTGGCATCCTTCTTAAATTCTCATCTTCACACTCTCCAAAAAATCCCTGAGACTGAGCTGCTACCAAAATTATTCATGAAACACATGAACAGTTTTAATTCAAATGAGCAGTAGAGGCAGCATGGAAAAATCCCACTGAAGACCAAAACTTTTCCGGAGGCCAAGCTGTGGAAAAGTACAGAGATATAACACAATTACAGCTCTTCAGATGACACTTTTGCTTTCTTTCCAGACTTGGACTTCCAAATCCTGTAAGAACTGCTGCAATCCCATGTCACAGACTGACCACATGCCTTCAAGCCCAGCCCAGCTACTCCACAAAAATTAAGCTGAGGATGCAACTCCCATGAAAACACCAGAACTCTAAAAAAAAAAACCCAAACAATTATTTTTTGCACACAAAAAGCTGCTTTAACCAAAATCCTCCTTGATCAAACAGAAATTCAAGCCTGATGGGGTTAAAAGGCCCAACTCAAAACTGGGAACTCAGCTGACCACAGCAGAAAAGAAAAAGGATTGCCTTCATCTCGCCCTAAACAAACTAGGATGGTTCAGGGGCTTTGGTTACATCACCCAACTTCTCCCAAAGTTCACTTGGATGCTGTACACGTGATTAAAAGCATCCCTTAACTAGATAAGTCTGCTGGTGCAACAGCCCCAGTTATTACTGCCTTTTGACACGTCTTTTTGGAAAACACAAGCTGTTTCATCTAAAAAAGTGCAATTCATTATTAAAAAGCAAGCACCCAAATAAACCAGAAACATCAAGCCTTTTCCCCAGGCTCTTACATTTGTAGTTCTCCAACGCTCACTTACTCAACTTGCAGCCTAATTACGCAGGCACAAGTATGCGGGGAGATTTGGGGGCCATAAATATTCATCGAGGGGAAAACATGTTTTGGTTTATCTGCTTTTGCAAAGAAATAGTTCTGGAGAGACAAGAAACCACCCACAACCCCGAGCAACGGCAAGCACATGGTAAAGGGAGGTCTGCAGCCTGTCCTCGTGGATGCATGGAAGTGCTGCAGAAATTCATGTTGTCCTTTTATCAGGCAACTCCTGGTTCCTCTTATCAGCTTCAAGGTGTATTTACAAGGATTGTAAATCAATCTTTGCTGACAGCTCTCTCAGGTGCTCGGCTGGAATGAGCACCAAGCGCTGCCTTATCGACACGAGCCAAAACATCTAATTACATCTGCTGGACCAGGAACTTTCCAACTTCTCAAAAAAAAGCTGCTCTGGGTAGGGAAGTGATGCTTTGGAAGGCCCAGAGCCTCATCCATCATTCATCCAAGCGACACTTAGGCTCAGATTTAATCCAGGGTGAGAGATGGATGGATATGACCATCCCAGTTCTGGGCTGGTATCTTAAATGGCCACTGGAGTGCTGAAATAGCACTCAGGGATAGCAGCAAATCCACTGGAATGTGAAAAATGGGGGGGGGGGAATGCACAGAGACTTCTCAAGTGCTCTTCTGCCTTGCTTATATTAAATATCCATTTATTTATTGCAGGGCAATGTGGGATCAACACCCCCGTGAGGTTGCCCAAGTCATATCCATCGAGAGACAGCTTGGCCACAGCTCAACACCAACCACCACCAGCTTTCCACCCATTTTCTCCTCCTCTGGCACTATCACTAAGGGGGGTGAAAAGATTCCACACCCTTGACCCTTGCACCTCCCCAGAGAAGTCCTTCATGGAGACAAAATGGATACAGAAAACTAGGGATTCACCCTAGAATTTACCCATCAACCACAGCAGTTATGTCTCACTGAGAGGAGTGATAAGTAGGTTTCACACCTGAATGTCAGGATTAAACATATTTAAATAGAAATATGAGTTAAATAGGAGTTCAGGGCCACGTAAAATCTTCTCTTCTATTTTTGTGGCCCTCCTTGCTCGACAAAAACAGGCTGCAAAAGCCTATTTTAGGCAAGCAAGCGAGCGAGCCACGGGCATTGTCCTCTGTCCTCACACACAGTTAAAGCAGAGCTGCCAGGGGTGGCCGACCTTATCTGTTGGGCTCCGCTCCAGGTCCTGCCCAGGGGAAAACCAAAAAGTCATCTCCGACATCCCCTGGCAGCCACATCAAGGCGACGCATATCCCGAATTTCTGGGAGGCGTGCACGCAGGCACGCAGCACTGTCCCAAACTCCTGGGATGCAGGCACGCAGCACTGTCCCAAACTCCTGGGATGCAGGCACGCAGCACTGTCCCAAACTTCTAAGATGCAGGCACGCAGCACTATCCCCAACTCCCAGGATGCAGGCATGCAGCACCACTGAGCACACAAGTGACTCCCTGGGAGGCCACTTCACTTTGGACAACCCCAAGGAATTGCCAACACCAGACTTTTCCCGTGGCCCCGCGCTGGCACATCCAGGGTGCTGTGGAGCCCCCCCCGGGTTTTTATTTCCTTCTGTTTTCAGAACAGGACCCATCCAACTTCAACATGGACGAGGAGATTTAATACTCAGAAGTTTATTTGCTGTTCTCCAGGGCAGTTTCATCCCAGCTGCCCTAATGACATCCCTGAGAAACAAAATCCCCTCTCCTTGCTTCCCCCTCCTCCCCCTGCTTAGCTAATGACACGTGCCCTGCAAAGACAGCCCTGAAAACAACCCTGAAAAGTCAGATACCAAAGGTTAAGGCTTTTCACCTCCTTCCTTAGAGATTTCCTTTCACTTGGGATCCCCTTTCCCTCATACCGGTCCCCAGTGCTGCCCTTAACACCTGAGAAGACCCAAAAGCCTTTGGAGCGAAGCCACCACTGGAAGCCTGCAGCATCTTAGGACAATATTTTCCTTTGAGATAAAAGGATTGGAAATTGGAGAGCAGGAACTTTTTTGGCTGTGCACATTTCTTTAGATCTACATACACTCCCCAGTGCATTTGCATGTTTTATATATATATATATGTATATATATGGCACAGTAAAATAAATTAGAGCAGAATACTATATGAGCATTCCATGATTTTCTCTGAAAAATATCAAGGATCTGGTGTAAGTAAAAGTATTTAAAGTTTGGGGGGGGGCTTATCATTAAAGAAAAGCTATTTTATCTTTGTTTTTTTATCAGGGGTCTGTGCAAATCTAAGCCTCAACCGCTTGTGTTGAGCCACACTGCGAGCAGCAAAAACTGTTCTGCTTTTAGAATCTGCCTTCAAAATATATAAATAAAACCACATCAGCACATGGCATGACAGGAGCTTGTTAGGAGCAGAGGAGATACCTCAAACTCATCGCTGGCAGTGAAGGATTGCACAAGCAGGATCTCAAAGGGATTCTTTGCTTTGCTGTCCTGTCATAGCTGTGCCAAGTCTGGGCTAATCCCCACCAGATTTCAGTAAATTTGGTTAAATACTGTTAGATAAATAATTGTGCCTTAATTACCTCACATTCCCACGACAGCGTGATGGGCTGAGCTGCAGCAGAAAGCCTGAAGTCAGTGGGTTCATCCCTCAAACCCACACCCAGGTTAAAGGCAGGTGGGAATAAACAACCAGCTGCAGGATTGTGGAGCAGCAACAACACCTGGGCAGGTGAAGGACCAGCCCCTCACACTTCCCTGTGGAGGAACTGGAAAGAGAGGGGACTCCAGGGAATGACTAGGGCTCTTGTACAGAGCCAGGGGAAGAAGAGGGACAGGCACTGATCTCTTCTTTGTGGGGTCGAGTGACAGGACCCAAGGGAATGGCCTGAAGTTGTGTCAGGGGAGGTTTAGGTGGATCTTAGGGAAAGGTTCTTCCCTCAGAGGGTGGTTGGGCACTGCCCAGGCTCCCCAGGGCAGTGGGCACAGCCCCAAGGCTGTCAGAGCTCCAGGAGGGTTTGGATGATCCTCTGGGGTACAGGGTGTAACTCTTGGGGATGGGCCTGTGCAGAGCTAAGGGTTGGACTGGATGATCCTTGTGGGTCCCTTCCAACTCTGCATATTCTGGGATTCTGGGAAGGTAAGACTGCCAAGCACGGTGCCACCTGTGGCACCTACATGCTACAAAAGCAAAATGTTTCATGAAAAAAAACCCGCAG